GGGAGTCATGGAGCAGGCTGTGAATAGTTATTGTTAGAAGTGCATTCAGAGCGGTTGTGATTCGTAAGGATTATAAAAGCTCCTTATTTGTGGAGCCCACTGAGGGATGGATACTTGAAGGAGAAAGTGGAAGAATGTTACTTAATGATGAAGAAAGAATATTATGGGGCATTGCTATGTTCCAAGATTAAATTCGTTCATATGTGTAGGGTAAGAGGGTTGGAAATGGGATAACAGGTCACAGTAGGTTTCAACGGGAAATGCCTCAAACCTTGGGCTTCACCTTGAATTTTCACAAAAGAGCAGGGGGTAAGGATGGGGATGGGAGATGGAAGCTAGAAATAGAGTGGAGGGTGGGGGAAAGGGAATAACCAAGTAGCTAATTTGCCAAGGTGCAGGATCCCTATGTTTCTTGGTGGATGGGTTCTCTGGGTTCCTACGCAGGGGCTAAACAGCCCTAAGACTGTCATTTGCAGTTCAACCCACCCTAACCCTGGAGCACTGAGTACTCCAGGAAATAGGTGTCCTGGGGGAAACAGCACTTCTTAAATAGGAAGTGAGGAAGTTTGGGGCCCTAAGCTTGTCCTCAATCAGCAGGTAAGAGAGGACGGCTTCTCATGGTCCTGCATAATATCCAGGGCAGGTGGGTGGGAAGGATTTTCCAAGTACCAACTCAAAAGATTTTCCACTTACTTTGATTCCCTTGCCTATTAGAAAGTATCACAATCCTAGACAATTGCTGGGAGTTTCTATTTTGAAGTTCTGGCAGCAGCTTTTAATATCCTGGTATTGAAGGGAGGGAAGGAGGGTGGGCACAACTTCTCACAACCTTGTGAAGAATTGGAGTAGCCACTTGAAGGTTCTTCACTCATGAAGTGTTGAGCAGGAGGACGTCTTGAACCTAGGAGTGTAGGACCAGCCTGTGCCACATAGCATGACCCCATTTATATATATATATATATTTCTTAGTTGTAGTTGGACACAATACTTTTATTTTGTTTATGTATTTTTATGTGGTGCTGAGGATCGAACTCAGGGCCTCGCACGTGCTAGGAGAGCACTCTACCACTGAGCCACAGCCCCAGCCCGCTTGACCCCATTTCTTAGAGAAAGAACAGAAAAGAAAAAGAAACCTGGCTGTCACTGGAAGATGGACACAAAACCTTTGTTTTATTTGTTTAATTTTTATGTGGTACCAGGGATCGAACCCAGTGCCTCGTGCATGCTAGGCAAGGGCTCTACCAGTGAGCCACAACCCCAGTCCCTGATCCATTATTTCATCACACTTGTTTTTTAAAACTATGGAGAGCCTGCTGCATAGAAAGTATTTAGCTATGTGTTTCCAAAGACACGAAATCATATTTATAAATAACACTTCAGAGCCCGGGACCTCTCCTGCTCTCCTGCCTCTTTTCTGATACTCTCTCCCTCTCACCAAATTGTTTAYGGTTCTTTGTGGACGCCACGCTCTTCTGTGCCTTTGTGGCTTCCTGGAAGGTTCTCTGCACCTCAGCTCCTTGGCTGGCTAGTTCCTACTCCCTCGTGAGTCTCAGCTTAGCTGCTGTACTCACGGGAGACCTTGATTCCCTCAGTCTGGGTTAAGCACCTTTTTCTTTTCATGCTTACTCAGGCACATCTCTATCACTACACATACCATGTGATAATGCAGCGATAAAGTTTGTGTTTGACATCTCCTCTTGATTTTGGACTCCTTAAGGTCAGAGAATGAACCTTCTTCACCCTTTGAATCAGACCCAGATCTTCCTCTAATGGACATTGCCGTCTAGTCAAAGACAGAAGTCATCATGAGGCTTGTGAAATGACCATATCATAGTGGTGTGATATATGCCAGAAGAGTGGTATAAATGGGAAGACCAACATGGTGATTGGCCTAAAGTTACTCAGCTTCTTGGCAGCTGGCTAGGGCCAGAAGCCCACCACCAGCTGAAGGAAGTAGCCTGGGAAGGAATCTGAAAGCAAGCCAGGCTGTAGGCTCAGACCTCAAAGCTCGAGAACATTAGAGAGGTTGTGACAAAGGTGAAGAGCCATGAAGTCATAAGCAGGCAACTGTTGTTTGGTTGGAGGCAGTTGAAGGATAGTGGAAGGAGCCTGAGACTGGCATCAGAAGAACTGGGTTCCTACTTAGTTCCACCTGAGCTCTTAGCAATTGCTTCATAATAAGAACCCAGTGGCCAACTAAGCTTCTCCCTCCTGTTATCTTTCTGTGAGCCTAGAATGACTTCTGTCCTTCCCTACCTACCTTCTGGCCAATATACTGCCCTTCTTTAAGATCTGGTTCAGACCTCACTCAGTGGTGAATACCTGTAATCCCAATGACTGGGGAGGCTGAGACAGGAGGATCTCATAAGTTCAGCTCCAGCCTGGGCAATATGAAAACATGTCTTAAAAAGAAAGAGAAAGAAAGAAAGAGGAGAAGGGAGGAAGGAAGAGGAGAGGGAGAGAGAGAGAGGGAGAGGGAGAGAGAGAGAGAGAGAGAGAGAGAGAGAGAGAGAGAGAGAAAGAGAGAGACAAAGGAAGAAAGGGGAGAGAAAAACTAGAGATGTAGCATATAGTTAGGTGATAGAGCACCCCAGGATCAATCCTCAGTACAGAAAAAAAAAATATTCAGTTCTGATCCCACCCCTTTCTTTATTTCCCTCACCAGATGAGGGATGAGGGTTTCTCTTCCTCTTCCTGAATTCCCATAGAAATAATTTATTTACCTCTCTTAGGAATTTTTTTTTCAGCTTCTTATTTCTGTGGGTACCTATTAATTACACAGAATAGTGGGTTTTATTGTGATCTCTTAGGAAATGGAATCATATTCTGCTTTACTATTTACTTAGGTGCTTATCTCATTGTCCCTACCAAATTGCCTTCAATGACGTTTCCCCCACCTAGAGAGCAAAGATTGTATTTATCTGTGTAGCTCCCTTATTCACCTAACTTGTGCTCAAATATTTGTTAACTGAATGACTGACTCCCTTTTATCAGGGAAGTGCGGGTGGCCAAGGGCATGGACTCTGGGCCTCCTGTTGGCGATGTGGCGGTGATCAAGTTCCTTGAGCTTTCTGTGCCAAAGTTTCCACAACAGTAAAAGGAGATCATCAGACCTGCCTCAAGGAGGTGAGTAATTACTTAACCCTGTGCCTGGGTCCCATCGGCTCTTCCTGAAGGATGTGTCAGAGAAGGAATTGCTCCCTTCAGTATTGAGACACTGCCACATCCTGAGACCTTTTCCCTTCCTGACTTAAAGACTTCATTTCTCAAGTTTTCTCTGATTGAACCCTGGTGAGTTGTGAAATCCTCCCAGAGAGCTTTGATTGAGTTGGCTTCTCCCCCACCCCCACCCCAGGACTGGGCGTTGAACCCAGGGCCTCAAGCTGGCAATCACTTTACCACTGAGCTACATCCACGGTTCTTTTTAAAATTTACCTTGAGACAGACTCTTATTTGGTTGTCGAAGCTGGCCTGGAGCTTGTGATCCTCCTTTCTCAGCCTCCCTAGTAACTGGAATTATAGAGTGTGTTACCAAGCCCAGTATGGATTTATTTTTTTTTCTAATACAATCTTCTGTATCATATAGATGTTCAAATTCATAATGACCAGACTGATCATGTAGACTTTATCACTTTATCTTGATATTTTTGTGATTGACTCAGCCTGTGTGTCTAAAGATGAGTTTAGATGTACTTAATGTACATATGGGTGTGGGGACACTGTTTTTCAAGAAGGAACGCCTTTAGATAGGTTCCTGATTTTCTGGGAACCACAGAGATTTTCACATTGGTCGAGTTGATCGGAGCTGAAGAGTGAAGTCATTGAGCGTTCATAATGGTCACGTGAATAAGGCAAATCAACATCTTTTAGTGAACAAAGATCATTTGCTACAACAAACTCTCAGACCAGCGTAGATTCCTGTAATAAACATTCACAGGCTCAGGTTACAAGGTACCAATTCTTAGATTTATGAAAACTCCTCCACTAAAAAAAAACATGAAAAGATCTCTGCTTATATAAAACCAAAAGAAACAGAATGCAGTTTTAGCAGGACACAATACAGAATGAACAATGATGTAACTTAAATTTTACGGCCTCTGGTATGTAAATATTTTCCAACCATATTTCTCACCCTGCTGGAAAACAAAGGCTGATGAGTAATCCAGGGCTTAGCATTCTGTAAGCATTTCAAACCTGGATAGGTGTTTGATTCATAGTTTTTGTTTGTTTGTTCATAGGTTTTTTTAAAAATACCACTGGGTGAGATGGATTTGCTTCAGATAAAAGAGATTGAGAGGCTGATGTGAGAAGAGTTTCACAGTGGGGTGAAAGGGGGAGGGAAAAGAACAGGTAATTCTGATTCTGATTGCTGCATTCATGCTGAATTGTGAAGCTAATGCAGAGAGTCCCTCTGCCTGTTTTTGTATCTCACCACCAATAAATTCTGTTTTAGAAACTTTTTCTATTTTAAGGTTCTGGGCTATGGCTACATTGATTTTCATAATTCCTACATGTGGCACCAGACGGAGGCATGCAGGGAAGGGGAGTCTTCCCAAGCCCTGCTTTCTCTCCAAGAGGGAAGAAACTACAGACACCCATCTTGGGTCATTTCCCAGGCACTGGCTGCAAAGTTTATCCTCTGTTTCCGAATGGGTCAGGGTGAAACAAGGAGGAGGCTGCCAGGCAGGCATCATCTTCTCAGGCTGTTGCTTATCTCCTTTTAAGGACATTTATTTTGTTTCTGTTCTGACAAATAAATAATAGGATTTCCCATGGAGGACTGGATCATCATAGAACCTTAAGATGGGGGGCATATTCCAGTTTTTTTGTATAGCTTTGCAAGAAGTAAGAGAAGGGAGAAGATGGGCTTGGAAAGCTTACCTGTGCATCCTTGAGCTGGTTTTGTATTTCACTTAAATAAATATTATACTTTATCCTGGTCACAGATGGCAGCTACCTAGGCTGAAAGTGGGTTCAGAATAATAACCACAGGGACTGGATTAAGATTATGTTTTACTATTCAAAGCAGCATTTCTGTGTGGGACTATTGAATCCAGCAATATAAGGAGGTTCAGAGGTTAGATATTTTTGAACTTGTGGCATTGGTCTACATCACTGAAAAAGACATCCCAAGAAGCGATTCTGGCTGGGCATGGTGGCACATGGCTGTAGTCCCAGCTATTCAGGAAGCACAGGCAGGAGGATCACTTGAGCTCAGGATTTCAAACCCCTGCCCCCAGTCCCTGCAAAAAAAAAAAAAAAAAAAAAAAAAGCAATTCCGATACATTGTATATCCCATTAATATAAAATATCTAGAAGAGGCAAAGCTCTACAGATAGAAAGTAGAGATGCCCCCCCCCMCACACACACCCCAGGGATAGAAAGTGACTGACTACTAATGTGAACAATGTTTCTTTTTGGAATGATAAAAGTGTTCTAAAATTAAATATGGTAAGAATTACACCTTCAAAAAGCTATTAAATAAAAGGTCCTCCTCCTCCTGAAAAAAAAGCAATTCCAACTCTAAATAGAGTCAAGGGGGAAAATTTCCAAACCCAAACCCAAGGTGAGTTTATAGACAAAGGCTGGGTAGTGATGGTGTTATTTTTTGTACCGAGGATTGAACCCAAGGGCGCTTAACCACTGAGCTACATCCCCAGCCCTTTTTTTTGAGACATGGTCTCACTAAGTTGCATAGGGCCTCACTAAATTGCTGAGACTGGCCTTGAACATGTGGTCCTCCTGCCTCAGCCCCTCGCCCCCAGTTGCTGGGATTATAGGCATGCACTTCCACACATGGCCCGACAGTGAATTTTGGGTTGCGAATGTAGATGATGATTACTTAGATATTCATTGTACTAGTCTCTGTATTTTGGTATGTTTGAAATTTTCCATAATAACAAGTGAATTTGAAAGAAACAAAACCACCTAAAAATACTGTAAAAAGTGAAAAGACAGAAAGGCAATGGAGAAGGTACAGGCCAACCATATCAGGCTACAAGTGTCCCTGTTTAGGTGGTGAAGGTCCTTGTGAACCCCAAGGAGGTTAAGCCCAAGATCCCAGAGGGTGTCAGCTGTCTATTACCCAGGGACTCGGGCCAGAGCCAAAGCTCCAATAAAGCCCAGCCTCCTCAGTTCCAGCTCTGTCTCTGGCTTTATAGTAAAGGCCTCTTCCTCCTTCCTCTCCCTCTTTTTTCTTCCTTCCTTCCCTTCTCCTCTCTCTCTCTCTCTCTCTCTCTCTCTCTCTCTCTTTCTCTCTCTCTCTCCCTTTCCTTCACTCCCTTCCCATCCCTCCCTCCCTTTTTATGTTTTCTTCCTTTCTTTCATGTTAATAGGAGTTTTCTCAATGTTTATATTGAAAAAAAATTAGAAGACAACACATACTTGTATTGGAAAAATTAAGAAATTCAACCTTGGACTCCAATATTTGGATTTTATGTGTCATAAAACTAAGAACAAAAAAGTTGGGAACCTGAACATTGTCAACTCAGTGGGCCCCTTTCCCAACAATGTCTGTGCGTAGTTACCCTTCACCGGATGAGCTACCCTTTCCGTTTCTGTGTTGAAATTCTCACGTGTCCAGGCTCAGAATGCCCCTCCAGCAAGCACAGATGAGAGGAGAAGAGACACAGCTTAGAGAAACATGGCCTGGAGGTGTGAGCACAATAAAGGCCACATTACAACATGGTGAGGGGGGGATGTGGGGAAGGATGATTTAACAAATAAATGTTCAAGGAAATACGAGGGCCCAAAAAACATATGGAAAAAGTGTTCTCCGTGACTATATCATCAAAGAAAAGCAAATGGAACACTAGTGGGATACCATTTGTTAACTGTGAAAAGAGAAAAAAAGATTACAAATATTTGATATGTTACAATGAAGTGAAAGAGTCTCCAACCCTGCTGGGATAAATGTGTAGATGAGAGGGGGGCAAAGAAGAGGAAGTGGGCTACTGGGGAGGTAAAAAATAACCAGGGCCCATTACAAAGGAGTTCTGATTTTGCCCTTGTTTCTGTTCTGGATTAATTCCCTCAAATAGAATTATTGGGTGAAAGGGTAATGACATGGTTAACCCTCTTGAGACAGAATGCCAAAATGTTTTCCCAAACACTAATACCGCTCAGTGGTAGTGTAGGAGGGAGCCTGTGCCAGCGTTCAAAATGAACTGTGGAAATTAAAAATAGAAAAAACAACCTGTGATCCATCTGCACAAAGTAAAACAGGACTGTGGGTATTTTAAGCAGACTCTGMAGGGCAGAGCAGAATCAGAGAAAGTCACGGGACTAGTCCTGATTGTGGGTTCAGATCCTGGTTTGGACACTCAACTGAACCATAAAGAAAGCTCCAACTTTCTTTCTTTCATTGAGTACAAAGTAGAGGCTTGGATTAGCTGCTTTTTTTCTTCATATGTATTTTCTTTAGTTGTAGGTGGACACAATACCTTTATTTATTTATTTATATTTATTTATTTTTTAATATTTATTTATTTATTTTTAAATTTTCGGCGGACACAACATCTTTGTTTGTATGTGGTCCTGAGGATCGAACCCGGGCCACAAGCATGCCTGGTGAGCGCACTACCGCTTGAGCCACATCCCCAGCCCTTTATTTATTTTTTTAAATGTGGTGCTGAGGATCAAACCCAGTGTCTCATGTGTGCCAGGTGAGTGCTGTACCACTGAGCCACAACCCCAGCCCTGGATTAGCAACTTTTTAAAAATATATTTTTTTATTTAATATTTTTTTAGTTGTAGTTGGACACAATACCTTTATTTAACTTATTTATTTTTATGTGGTGCTGAGGATTGAACCCAGGGTCTTGCTCATGCGAGGTGAGCGCTCTACCGCTGAGCTACAATCCCAACCCCTAGCAATTTTTTAATGTCTCTTTGGGTATTCATTTTTATTTCTTTGTACAGGAACTTTATACATGCTAAGTACTACCACTGAGCTACACCCCCAGCCTGTGAATCACTATTTTATAACTCCATAATAATAGCTTCTTCATAGCTTTAAAAGGACTGGAGTATTTAACAAGGGAATCATTGTTGATATTTATTCATTACTAGGAGCCAGGACAAGTTGGTCCCTCATGGCAGGAGTCCTAAACAGAAGAAGTGCAGCAAACTCCATGATAACTAGACTGGTTCAATGGTACATGTAAGACATCCTTTGGGAACTCTCACAAATACTTAGGGTGTGTTAGTCAGCTTTTCATCACTGTGACAAGATGCTGGAGAAAATCAACTTGGAAAGATATATTTGGCCTTATGGTTTCAAAACTTTCAGTCTGAAGTTGGCTGGCTCCATCACTTTGGACCCAAGGCAAAGCAGAATATCATAGTGGCAGGGTATGGTGGAGAAAACCTGCTCACTTCATGTTACATAGGAAGAAGAGATAGAGAGAGGGAGAGAGAAAGAGAGAGGAAGAGCCTGGGGACAAGATTTAGTCCCCAAGCCTGGCATGGTGGAGCATGCCTGTAATCCCAGCAGCTTGAGAGTCTGAAGCAGGAGAATGGTGAGTTCTAAGTAAAATATAAAAAAGGGCTTGAGTTAAACAGCCATGGATTTAATCCCTGGTACCAAAAAAAAAAAAAAAACAAAAAAAAAAAAAACAAAAAACCATTCAGTCCCCAGGGGCATGCCCCTAAGGATTCACTCACTTCAATTAGGTCCCACCTGCAAAGTTTCCACCACCTCCGAATAAGGTCATCAAATATGAATTCATCAATGGATTAATCCACTGATAAAGTTAGAGGCTTCATCATTCATTATTTTCCCCAAATCCCCATTTTATACTGGGGTGTTATAGTTAAAGCTTTGTCCCAGGGTTTCATAAACTGACTTCCAGACCACTCACRGATAATCGAATCAAGCCTTTATTGAAGCACACCGGTGGCGGCTGACCAGAACATAAAGCTGTTCCCCTGATCAGCCCCGAACAATTGCAAGGGCACTCCTTATAAGCCTGAAAACYGCAAAAGGGATGTTCAGGGGGTCTAGCCAATGCAAGCAAGCCAGGTTACAGAAGTGGGACAGTGCAGTCAAGTGGCGGGAAGCCTAACCAATCACAGTTAGCCCAGTCACCCTAGTTACAGAAACAATGCCCCATTAGGTAGTTCCGTGTTCTTAAAGGTTTCTATAGCAAAAGGAAAAGAACATCTTGCTCCAGTCATGACTCTTCTACTTGGCATGGTTGTTTTACAGGATGAAGTCATGAAACAAAATGGAGTCACATTTGCTCCTACTATCACAGGGGACCAAGCAAGTTTTCAACACATGAACTTTTGGGGACATTCCAGATCCAAACCATAATACTTGGCAACTACATTGCCTGGATTTTTTGGGCTGACATGCTGGCCAGTGGGACAAGAGCCAAGGACACATGAGTTATGTCAACATGCCTCAAATCTAACTCACCTTGCCCAGCCCACCTTTTGCACCTGCCAGTGGCACCACTGTCCTTCCAGTCACCCTGGCTCCAACCTCAGTGACATTTTGACTCCTTGCCTCCTTTGTCTGGTTATAACAACAGCCAGCCAGCGCTAACAGCTGTTCATTCATTGGGTGCTCGGGAGCTCCTGCTTGCTCAGTCCACACTGATTTCTTTTCCCTTTTGTCAATCACTGTGGGTAGGCTCAGCCCAGCACTTGATTGCACTGTTCATTCGAGGTGGGAGCTYCCAAGGGTCTTGACTTACCTAGCGTGTAACATCTCCTAGGCAAGGGCACGATCTCACACCTCTCTGTGTCTTTCTCAGTCCCTACTTCACAGCCCTGTGGGTCGCCATAGGACCTCGTTCTCTATACTGTATCTATGTATCTAAGTTAGTATGGGTCTGGATTTGTCTTCATCTTACATTTCAGGGGAGGGAAACAAAACAGTAATTGAGATAAACAAATAAAATATATTGTATGTTAGATGATGATAGTTGTTAAGAAAAAAAATTGGAAAGGGATTTAAAGTTTGTGACTAGAGAGAGAGAGAGGATGTTGAAATATTAAATGGGATGCTTACACTTTTGAGTAGAACATAAAGGAGGTTAAAGGGTTAGCCATCAGGCTTTGGAGGAAGAGAAAATAGGCCACAAATGTCCTCAGGCAGGAGCATGTCTCGTGCCATTTAGGAACGGGAAGAGAAGATGACCAAGATGGCTGTAAGTGCTGTACCTTCTTCCTGCATTAAAAAGAATAAGAAGGAGAAGGAGAAGAATTATTGAGTTTAAGACCTCAAGGATGGCCAGGTATGGTGGCACACACCTGTAATCCAGCAACTCAGGAGGCTAAGGCAGGAAGATTGAAGATTCAAAGTCAGCCTCAGCAATTTAGCAAGACTCTATCTCAAAATAAAAAAATAAGAAGGGCTATGAATGTTGCTCAGTTGGCGAAGCACCCCTGGGTTCAATCACCAGTAAAAAAGAAAAAAAAAAAAAAGAACTCTCAAGGATGCCTTATTGTGACGTAGGTTTATCTTGGGCAGCCATTGGTCCTTCACATATAGCCTCTGTCTCTCACAGTGCCTCCAATTTACCATTGAGTGGAAACTTAAAAAGGATCTGTCTCTCCACAAGGGAATGCTGAGGGGTGGTGAACACCTATAGCCCCAGTTCCTGGAGAGGGTGAAGCAGGAAGATTGATTGAGCTCATGAGCTCCAGACCAATCTGGGTAACACAGAGAGACCTCATCATTAAAAAAAAAAAGAAAGAAAGAAAGAAAGAAAGAAAGAAAGAAAGAAAAAAGAAAAGAAAGAAAAGAAAAAAGAAAGGAAAGCACAATTCTACTTCACAGATGCTCCAAGTTATACCTCAAAAAACCCTTGAAAAATGGATTAAAAAATGTGGCACTTCTACACAATAGAATATTACTCAGCACTAAAAAATAACAAGATCATGGCATTTGCAGGGAGATGGATGGCATTAGAGCAGATTATGCTAAGTGAAGTTAGCCAATCCCCCAAAAAACAATGCCGAATGTCTTCTCTGATGTAAGGGGGTGACTCAAAATGGGGTAGGGAGGAAGAGCATGGGAAGAAGATTACTTCTAAATAGGGAAGAGAGGTGGGAGGGAAAGGGAGGGAGAAGGGGAATTGCATGGAAGATGGAAGGAGACCCTCATCCTTATACAAAATACATGTATGAAGATGTGAGAAAAAAAATAGCATCACCTTAGATTGGGTAGAGAGAAGTGATGGGAGGGGAGGGGAGGGGATGGGGGAAAAAGAAGGAAAGTGGAATGAAATAGACATTATTATTGCTGTGTGTATATGTGTGACTGCATGACCACTGTGATTTTGCAACCTGTACACTCAGAAAAATGAGAAATTATATCCCATCTGATTCAAATGTATGATATGTCAAGGTCATTGTACTGTCATGTGTAACTAATTAAAACAAATAAAAAATTAAAAAATATACTCAACAACATTATTCATAATAGCCAAAATGTGGAAACAGTTCAAGTGTCTGTCAGTGAATTAATGAATAAACAGTKCGGTATATCCATAGTGTGGGATAATATTTAGCTATAAAAATGAAGTTTTGATACACACTACAACATGGAGAAACCTCAGAAACATAGTACATGTGGAAGAAGCCACATGTTATACAATTTACATGATGTTTCTAGAATAGGCAAATCCATAAATACAGAAAGTAGATGTGTTGCCAAGAGATTGGAAGAAAGGAAACTTGGGAGAGGCTGGTATCAGGTATAAGGTTTCTGTTTGGGGTGATGGAAATATCCTTTAATTAGTGGTGATGGTTGATTAACATGGTGAATGAACTAAAAACCACTGAAGTATATACTTTCAAATGGTGAATTTTATGTTATGTGAATTATGACCCAATAAAAAATGCAATTTAAAAAAGAAAAAAATAACYCTTGAAAATAAACTGTAAAAAAAAGTAACAAATGCAAATATTTACTAGTAACAAACTAGAATCAGATAATAAATAGAAAAAGCATTTGCATTCATGATAGCAACAAAAAAGGACTACAAAATAGCAAAGAATATATATATATTTTTCTTTTCTGTAGTGCTGGAATTGAACTCAGGGCTTACACAAGCACTCTATCTCTGGTCCACATCCCCAGCCTTTCCTGTTTTTTGGTGCATTTTTTTTTTTTTTTTTTTTGAGACAGGATCTTACTCAAGCTAGACTGGAATTTGTGATCTTCTTGCTTCATCCTCCGGAGCAGCTGGAATTACAAGCATGTGCCAATGTGCCTGGCCCATCAAATAATTTAAATAAGAGGATATATACAGTTGACTGTCCATCCTTGTGCGTTTTGAATCCTCAGGTTCAACCAATTGTGGGTCAAAAATATTTTGGGAAAAATTGCCTCTGTCTGCAATTTGGACAGATTTTTTTTAGTTGTCAATAGACCTTTATTTTATATATATGTGGTGCTGAGAATTGATCCCAGGGTCTCACACATGGTAGGCAAGTGCTCTACCACTGAGCCACAACCCCAGCCCCAGGAACTCCATTTTTAATAGAGATCACCATAACACAAGTGCTGCTGACATTGTAGCCAAAGAGCCGATGGTTAAAGACGGGGTGACTGAAAACAGGTGAAAAGCTAAGATCTGCTGCTGAAGAGAGGGAACAAGCATATCTATTAAGTACATGCTTCAGTCAACAAATATTTATGGAGCGCTTGTTCCATGCCAGACACTGTTCTAAGCTCTAAAAAGATAGCGGTGAGAGAGGAAAACACCACCGCAGATAAAAGTTCTTGCCCTCAGTGAACATTCTAATGCAGGGTGGGGGGCGGGCAATGAATGAAACACGTAAGTAAAACATAATATGACAGATGGCAATATATGGAGAAAAATAAAGCAAGAAAAGAGTATAGGGGAAACAGTGGGGAGATTATGATTTCAAAAAAATGAGTCCTCTGAGTTTCCTTGCTCTGTTGTAGCCATCTGTCTATCTAAATTCATGTCTTCATCTATCTCCTTCCCAGATTTCAGGAATTAAAAAAAAATAACTGGTACATTTTTATAGCACAGAATTCAGAACAAAGGGTATCAGCACCCGATCTTCCCCACTAGAGGAAGGATCCTGAATTCTTCCAGAGACAATCTGTGCATCTTCAAGCAAATATGTGGGATTTCTCTGTCTTTTTCCCCCTCTTTATTTTAGCACAGTACTGTTCTGAAAACACTATTCTGAACCTTGCACTTTTTAAAAAAAGACAGTTCCATATTGGTATTTAAAAACAATTTTTTTTTGTGCCAGGTATTGAACCCAGGGGTGCTCGACCACTAAATCATATTTCTGCACCACCACCACCACCCCGCCTTTTGAAATAGAGTCTTGTTAAATTGCTTAGGGTCTTGCTAAGTTGCTAATGCTGGCTTTGAACTTGAAATCCTCCTGCCTCAGCCTCCCCAGCCACTGGGATTACAAGTATGCGCCATTGTGTCTGGCTCCATATCTGTTTTTTGCGGGGAACTGGGGAGGATGCTGGGGATTGATTAAACCCAGGGCCTATTGATGCTAAATATCTACTGTACCACTAACCTACTTCCCCAGCCCCAGCCTCCTCATTCTAAATCATTCTTTATCCATTTTATGGATATATGATAATTTATTAAACTACTTCCTCATGGATACATTTAGACTGTTTTGAAGTATTTGGTATTATGATCAAGTTTTTACTAAAAGACTTTGTACATATGTAATTTTACACACAATAAAATCTATCTGTAGAACACATTGTTAGAAGTGAAATTGCTCAGTCAAAGGGTGCATGCATTTATCCTTTGGAAAGATTTTCTCTCCTGGGATTTGTACAAATTTGAATTCCTCCAGCAATGAAAAAGTGCTCATTTCCCTACTTCCCTCAACAACAAAGTTTTACCAATTCTTTACCAGTGAGCTAGATGAAAATGTGACACATGTACCCCTGACATCACAATTTATATTAAATGCATTCATCTGCTTAGGTAGTCACAACAAAATACCATAGACATTCTCTCACAGTTTTTGGAGGCTGGAAAGTCCAACATCAAGGTTCCAGTCAACATGAAGATTCCACTCAATTTGGTTTCTGCTCAGGGCTCTCTTCCTGGCTTACTGTGGCTGCCTTCTCTCTGTGACCTCAAATGGACTTTCCTCAGTGTYTGAGGAGAGAGAAATAGATATCTGCTGACTCTTCCAGTTCTCTAGTATGTCTTCTTATAATCCTAATCATATTGGATCAGGGCCCTACTCTTATGACCTTGTTTAACCTTAGTTCTAGTTAATTACTCCGAATTCAGCTACCATGGACGTTAGGCCTTCAACATATAAATTTTGGGGAGACACATTCATTTGGTAACACCATACTCTCTATTAGAGATTTTATTCTGGAGAAGACTCATATAAATTCAATAAATGTGAGAGCATTTTCAAAGGGAATTTAGAGCCATTAGCCATTGTTGAAATTATAATGGAGAGAAATCTTGCAAATGTAAGGAATGTGAGAACACTTTTTTAAAAAAATTTTAACCAAGGATTGAACCAGGATTGGTTAACCACTGAGCCACACCCAAAGCCTTTTTATTTTTTATCYTGAGGCAGAATCTCACTTAAGTTTCTAAGGGCCTCACTAAATTGCTGAGGCTGGCCTTGAATTTACAATCCTCCTGCCTTAGCATCCCCAGCCACTGGGATTACAGGTGTCCTCAGCCAGGAACACCTCACAGGTGTTGATCTCAACACCGACATCAGAGAATTCACAGCAGAGAAAATTCATGGGAAGAATGATTGTATAAAAACTTTCTGGGGGAGCTCATGCATTATTTAGTATCAGAGGATCTATTTGGGAGAAGACTCTATGAGTGCATCAGGAGTCCTTAGCTACAGCTTGGGTCTTATTGAGCAACARAGAATCCTGGGGGAAAAACATTATGGATGTGAGGAGTATGGGGAACCATTTAGACATATTTCAGCCTTTCCAGCCTGGAGACTTCATGCTGGGAGAGAYACCTTTGACTATGATTACAGGAAATCCTTTCATCAGAGTTTGCATCTTATTCCACATCACTGAATCCACTCAGGAGAGAAACCCTGTAATTTATTGAATGTGGCAAAACCTTTAATCAGAGCTTGACTCTTATTCCACATCAAATAATTAACTCCGGTGATAAACCCTGCGAATGTCATAGATGTTGGAAGTCCTTCAATTATAGCTCATACTTTTTTTGATCCCAGAGAATTCACGTTGGTGAGAAAGTGTGTGAATGTTATAAATAAGGAAATGCTGTCTGGCCTAGGTCAATCTCTATGACAATATCAAAGAATTCATTTCATAGAAGAATCCTACRGCTGTCAGTAATGACAGGGAAGATACCTCTAGCTCCTACTTGAGAATCTACCTTGCAAAAAAAGAGATGATGTAAATTTGAGCAACTCAAATRTATTTGTTATTTATTTTGTGATGTAAAGCCATTGGCTCAGCTGTGTATGCACCTCCTGCATTCAYACATGTGCATTTTTTTATTGTGGTAAAATACACATAATAKAAAATTTATTATCTCAAAATYTTTTTTCTCTTTTGAAGYACTGGGAATTGAACATAGAGCTCTACCATTGAGCTAYACCCCCAGCCCTTTTTGCTTTTTATTTTGAAACAGGGGTCTCACTAAATTGCCCAGGCTGGCCTTGAACTTGCCATCCTCCTGCCTCAGCTTCCCAAGTAGATAGGATTATAGATGTGTCTGTCATCCATCTACCCTGCCTGTCTTCCATTCTTTCTTCTTTTTCTTTTTTTTAATGTTTATTTTTTAGTTGTAGTTGGACACAATACCTTTATTTTATTTATTTATTTTTATGTGGTACTGAAGATCGAACTCATGTGCTAGGTGAGCRCTGTACCACTGAGCTACAACCCCAGCCCCCATTCTTTCTTCTTAAAACTTGAACACACATACACTTCTTCTAGGAATAATTGTTCAAATGATAAAYTTGGAGGGAAGGTTATCTTCTTTCCTTTCTTGTATATCATCAGAAGTGCACACAAGTGCCACGCCTTATGGAAAAGAAGTTGTACAGTTCCTGGAAATTAGTGGAATTTTTCATGCATCTTTGTTCTGAAACAATCCAGTTCTAGTAGGTGAGAACTTGCCCCAAAGTGGCTATGAGACTGAAGAAATAGAAGCAGATGGTTTGCACATAGTCCAATTTATTTTGGAGATTTACTGATAGAAGCATAGCCCTGGGTGGCAGCAAGACCAGTTGGACTCCCACAATTTAGGCCAGAAAGAGGGGCATATTTATTTATGGATTAGGACAAAAAGTGACGTCATCCTGGCTGGAATGTACTTGATTCATTTTAAAATGATACCAATGAGTCACTGACAGGCATATTGATACAGATCTATAATCCCAGCGACTCACAAGACTGAGGCAGGAGGATTGCAACTTCCAGGCTAGCCTGGGCAATTTAGCAAGACTCTGTTTCAAAATCAAAAACAAAAGGCTGGGAATGTTGCTCAGTAGAAGAGCACCCTGTCTTCAATCCCCAGTACACGAAAGAAGGGAAGAAAGGAAGGAAGTAAAGAAAAGAAAAAAGGGAGAAAGAGGAAAAAAATCAAAGTCAGGCATATTCCCAGAGAGCTCGAGTCTGGTTGTAAAGCTCCATATACCTCTCTAATGGTTTTGTCTATTGTAGTTTGCTGAGAAACTATGTAGGAAAAACAGACTAGAGTAATCATGGTGGTTATGACTCAAGATGGTTGCAATCATGTTAATCTGAATCCATACATTCTCACACAACATAAGCAGTTCTATGGTGTATAAGGACCTGAGCTCCTAGTATCTCTTAAAGTCATTTCCTGTCCAGAATCAGGGAAGTGGAAGGTAACTTTGAAATCATTCAAACTCCATAGAACTTACTGGTAAGTTTTCTGCTACCAAGATGCAGAAAGATGTTAATGGAAAGAATAATTCAGAGATATTAGGGCTGGGGATACAGCTCAGTTGGTAGAGTGCTTGCCTCACATGCACAAGGCCCTGGGTTCAATCCCCAGAACCAAAAAAAAGAAGAAGAATTCAGAGATGCTGCAGGAAAAAAATCCTCATGCCTCTGAAGTTTGGAAGGGTTACTGGTACAAATGTGGGAGATGAATGCTTACTATTGGAGCTTATTTTAGTTATTTTCTGGTATTTAAAGTGAATTGAGGGCTGGGGATGTGGCTCAAGCGGTAGCGCGCTCGCCTGGCATGCGTGCAGCCCGGGTTCGATCCTCAGCACCACATACAAACAAAGATGTTGTATCCACTGAGAACTAAAAAATAAATATTAAAAAATTCTCTCTCTCTTTAAGAGAAAAAAAAAAATAAAGTGAATTGAACTACCTTTGGGATGGTGCACTGTAAAGAGAAGTTTGTGAAGACATATTATTTTGCTTGAGTTAAGGCTCAACCATGTCCTAGGACAAGACTCCCATGCTACTTCTGGTACCTTCCCATTCCTTCTCAATACACACAAAATCAAAGGATATGGGTTCCCATCCAGAAACTCTTTCAAGACAGGAGAATCACAAGTTCAAGGCCAGCCTCAGCAATTTAGCGAGGCCCTGAGCAACTTAGTGAGACCCTATCTCAAAACAAAAAATAAGGGCTGAGGATATAGCTCAGTTCTTAGAGTGCTTGCCTCACAGGCACAGGGCCCTGGGTTCAATCCCCAGCACCAAAAAAAAAAAAAAAAAAAGAGAGAGAGAGAGACTGGGGATGTGGCTTAGTGGTTAAGTGCCCTGTCCAATCCCTGGTACCAAAACTGAACAAACAAAAACCAAAAACAAAAGACAGACTATAGGACCAGCACTGGAGTGAGGTAAGGCCTACCTAGGGCACAAAATTGTTTTCCACATTTTTTAATTGGTGCATTGTAGTTGTGCTTAGTGTTGGGATTTGTTATTATATATTCATATATGCACACAATATAGCGATATAATTTGGCCAATGTCACTCCCCAGCATTTACCCCCTTCCTTCCCTCCTCCCACCCCTTAGTCCATTTCCTCTATTGATCTCTCTTAGATTTTCATGAGATTGTGGACACCTTTCTTTTTCTTTTTTTCCCACCAGTTGCTGAATACAACCCTTGAGAGAAAACATAAAACCCTTGACCTTCTGAGTTCAACTTATTTTGCTTAACATGATGGTCTCTAGCTCTAGTTCCATCCATTTTCCTGCAAAAGACATAATTTCATTTTTATTTTTGGCTCAATAAAACTCCATTGTATGTATACACCATATTTTCTTAATCCATTGACCCATTGATAGACATTTAGGTTGGTTCCATAGTTTGACTATTGTGAATTGTGTTGCTAATTGTGCTAACATGGGCATGTCTGTATCTCAGGTGCAAAATTTAAGGAGGCACTCCTTTTTGCATATCCCTGAGAGTGAGGACCACCTTAAAGATTGTGAGTCTGTGCCCTAATTGCCCTATCCTAATCTTGGTTTTGGACAGAAGCTCTGAAGCCTGGATTACTTGCTGAAGAAAATGGAAATGGTCTCTGGCTCTTGCGGATCTTGGAATTGCTGGATCAGGGAGAAAGGGATGGAAGGAGGACACAAGGGAAATGCTTGGGAGGAAGTTGGTCAAGGGAAGACTCAATCACAGAGGTACAGCTGGATCTCCCATCTTCAGGGTACCAGTAATGAGCCTTCCTGTATTAATCCATTCATTCATTGAATATCCATGATATTAGACACATTTCTAGTGTTAGAAATGTTTTGGTCAGACTCTTTTCATGGAAGGAGTGAGGTCTTTAGAAGCTACTCAGATAATAGAGTTTTATTATAAAAGTACTTTGCAGTAAAGAGTTAACTCAGTAGCCCTGGGCTGTCCAAACACTGACTCTTCCAAAGATCTTCAGGACTAGCCCTTGGTTGGTTCCTGGGAGATATCTCTTAAGCCTTTAGACTATCCCTCCTGATAAGGGTGCCTCTCTATGCCTAGTTTATGATAACAATAGAATGTGTCATAAGTACCTGTTTTAGTATAACTAGGAGTTCTGGCCAGGCTGTATTATTTAACTTTTGGAAGGGTCTGAAGACTGAATAGCTAATATCTATCTTGTGGGTACTCCATATTTATGTGACTAACCTCTGATAAAAATC